AAAGAAGGGAAAAGAAAAAATATGAGAAAAGGAAAAAATGGAAACAAAGTCTTTGTAAATAGGGAGGGGTGGAGGGGGTGAAGGGAGGGCAGGGGAATGGGGGAAGAAAATAAGAACAAAGATATATCGTGTAAAGGTACAAGATCCCAATGATGAATGTAACTGTATTGTATACCTAAAATGTACCAATAAACTTAATGAAAAAAAAATTATCATTCCTAGCAGGGCATGGTGGTGCATGTCTATAATCCCCACTGTAATCTGTAATCCCAGGAGACTGAGGCAGGAGGATCTCAAGTTCTAGGCAACTTAGTGAAATTCTGTCTCAAAATAAAATAAAAAGGGCTTGGAATGTACCTCAGTGTAGAATGCTTGCCCTGCATGTATGAGGCCCTGGGTTCATCCTCAGCACTGCAAAAAATAAAAAAAGAGAAGACCGTATCACACTCACTACAATAGAACAGCTGTAAGACAAAGACAGGCAATGAGTCCCAGTAAGGATGGGGCAACCTGGAGCTCATACACTATTAGTGGGAAGGCCAATGGGTGTAGCCATTCTGAAAAGTCTAGTAGTTCTTCAGAAGACCAGACATAGTTATATGATCCAGTAATTCCACTCCCTTAATTTCCTAAAGAAATGAGAACTTATGTCCATTGCCTAGCATGTGTGTGTAAGACCCTGGGTTCATTCCCGCTACCACAAAACAAAAGCAAAAGCAAATTGTACAGGAATGTTCATAGAATTATTTAGCCAAGAATGGAAATAACCCATTGATGAATGGATAAACAAAATGTGGTCTTGCCATACAATGGAAAAATAATCGTAATCCCCACATATGTTGCAATTCAGATGAACCCTGAAACCACGGTGTAAGCACAAGAAGTCAGACACAAAGCTCACCTATTACTTGATTCCATTTATATAAAGTGTCCAGTACAGGAAAATCTGTAGAGACAGAAAGTAAGCCGGCCATGGTGATATCTTTCTGTAATCCCAGCACCCAGGAGGCTGAGGCAGGAGGATCACCTTTAAATTTGAGGCCAGCCTGGGCTACATAGCCAGACTGTGTCTCAAAAATACCAAAAGAAAGTAGATGACTGGTTGCTGGGGCTGCGGGTGTGGAGGGCAGGTCGATAATAGCTAAAGGGTATATATAGCGTTTCTTTATGGGGTGATGTAAGCATTCTACTAGTGATTGTACAACTCTGTGACTACTCTAAAAGCCATTAAATTGCACACCTTAAATGGGTGAATTGTCTGAACACATGTGAAGCCTTGTGTTCAATCCCCAGTATCATAAAAATAGAAAACTAAGATGGGTGAAGTGTATGACTTGTGAATTACATCTCAATAAAGTTGTTTTTATGTTTTAGGCTCTCCCGCCCCATACTAGGGCCTTGGACATGCTGGACAATGCTCCATTCCCACCCTCTTTTAAAGTTTTATTTTAAGCAGAATCTCACTGAGCCGCTCTGGCTGACCTCGAGCTTGCTTGCGATCCTCCTACCTCAGCCTCCGAGTAGCTGGGATTGGGTTCGTCACCAGGCCCAGCTACAGAGCTTTTTAAAAGATTGTTAATCTCTGTCCTGGTCAGGAAAGGCCTCTCGGCAGGCGCCATTTGAGCTTCTTTTCTAACTGACTCAAAGCTCTCATAGAGTAACCAGTGACATTTTAAGCTCTTCACAATCACTTCCGCATTTAATCCTTAGGAAAAAAGTGTGGATTCGATTCCGACAGCCCCGCTTAATAGATGAAGAAACCGAAGCACAGATAAGTTAGGCGACTCACCTCAGGTCACACAGCTGATAAGTCCGGGATTTCATTCCAAGGATGCCTGACATCAAAGTGAGTGCTCTTACCCCTGCACCGCGCTGTACGTTCCCGGTCGGGTCTTGGAATTCCCGACCTTTCCCAGACCAGGAAGATGGCTCAAGGCAAGACAGAGGAGACAGAACAAGAAAGCCTTTCAGGAAGGTTGAGTAAGGTGCGCCAGGTGCAGAGGATAGCAAGAAGCGTGGCCAGAGGCGTCCCGAGTGAGGAAGGCACCATCTCTGGTCTCCCAAATTTTAGAGGCCTAGAATCACCTGGTCCAGCTACTTGGGAGGCTGAGGCAAGAGGATGACTTGAGCCCAGGATTCTCAGTCCAGACTGGGTACCGTAGCCAGACCTGTCTGTAAATTAAATAAACAGCGGACACTCGGACCTCATTGTCGGAGGTTCTGATTCAGAGGGGCTGAGACACAAACCAGAACCTCAGTGTCACAAGCTGGGGAGGAGAGGCACTGATGCAGGTGGCCCGGTGACTGCACTGGACACATTCGGCATCAACTTCCGGGTCAGCGCGAGGCTCCTCTGGGTAACCACCCCTTCCTCTCTGACACGCCCCTCCCTCCTGACCCCCCGGTGTTCTGGCTCTCGAGCTTCTTCCTGTGCCCAGGGACCGCGCCCCCCCGCCCCCCACAGCTTTTCCAGTGCCCCGAGCTCACCCCTGTTTTCTCCACCTGCTGCGTCCACTCCTGTTTCCTTTGCTCTGTACCCTCTCCCACAGGGGCCTCATCTCATCTTCTCCCCTTGTCCTCCAGCCCCCCAGAGCTCACCTTTTAAGCAGGGATCTGCTTAAAAGTGTTATCGCTTTATAAACTCTTCCCCTACCACAAGCAAATTTCTTCAGGCAGGAGCAGTGCCACATGTCTGTAATGCCAGCCACACAGAAGGCTGAGGCAGGAGGATCACAAGTTTGAGACCAGCCTAGGCAACTTAGAGAGACCCTGTCTCAAAATAAAAAGGGGGAATACAGCACAGTGGTACATGCCTATAGTCTCAGCTCTTAGGCAGGATGAGGCAGGAGGATCTTACACTTGAGTTTCACCTGGGCAACTAAGGTGAAGCCTGATCAAAATTTTTAAAAAATTAAAAGGGCTGAGGAGGTAGCTCGGTGGGAGAGCACCCTTGGGTTCAAGTAACCTAGTACTGCAAAAACAGAGAGAGAGAGAGAGAGAGAGAGAGAGAGAGAGAAAGAGGACTGCTGGGGATGTAGCTCAGTGCTCTCTGGGTTCAATAACCAGAAAAAAAAAAAAAAGGATGAAGAGCAAATGAGAAAATGGATGCAAGAAGCATTACAGGTACCTAATAAATAGTAGCTGTTGGGCTGGGGTGCAGCTCAGTGGTAGAGCATTTAGCATGAGGTCCTGGGTTCTATCTCCAGCCACACAAGCCACAACAATAAAAGTAGCTATTATTTTCTTTTATTGCTGCTTGACCTTGAGTAGATCAATTCCTGTAGCTCTAAAATGATTCGGGCTCTTGTGTCATGCATGGTTTTAATTTATACAACAATTTATTTATTATTATCTTCAACTATTTTATAGTTGAAGAAAATGAGACAAAGAGGGATTAAGAAATGTGTCCAAGGCCCGGGGATTTAGCTCAGGGGTTTCGCCACCTGCTGTGTAAGCACAAGGACCCAAGTTCGATTCCCAGTACCAAGAAAAAAAAAGAAATGTGTCCAAATTCTCCTAGGTGGAAATAGGCAGCACTTGGCTTTTAACTGAGGCATCAGGTCCTGAGTTATTTTTCTTTACATTTCTTTTTATTTGGATTGAACCCAGGGCTTCACACCTGCCAGGTGAGTACTCTTCCACTGTGCCACATTCCCTGCCCCAGGCCCTGAGTTCTTAGTGGTCCTGACATTGACACTGTCACACCTGGGCCCCTGGCTCTGGCACATGGTGGGCACTCAGGGGACACTGAGTTGATGGTCTCTACATTGAAATCACCCAAAGATGCACTGGCCAATGATGTTTCATGTTCTTTATTTGATAAGACTCAACACTGTAAGATCTTTAATGAGAACGGAATGTAAAAAAACCTCAGAATGGTAGCTTCTGACAGCTTGGTGGACCCAGTCTTCTTCAGTGGAGTGATCGTGGGTTTTAACCCCAGAACATTAAGATGGTGCTGGGGCACTAGAAGAAGGAAAGGTGCATTGGTTTCCCTGCCCCACCTTCTAGATTTCTCTCCAAATCACTGTCATTGGCACCTCTCTCCTCATGAACAACTGACTGGGAGAGATGTGGTGTAAGGAGCATCCAGGGGAAGAAAATCTCGGGTGTTATTTTCTAATCAGGGTGCTCCAAGGGGAGGAGTCTCCTCTACTTGGCTTCCAAATCTCCTCCAATTCAGGTCATTAACCTTCCCTACCCTCCACTAAGCCTCATACAAATCTCAGGGAGACCACAAAACTTTCTCACAAAACTCTCTTTGAGCCTGGCATCTTTTCTACACAGTCAGTTTCTCACCTGAATCCCGTGGGCCATGTTTCTTCCACCCTAGAGGAACCTTGGAAATAGTACATTAAGGGAAGTCTTCAGTCCTGGCCTCTTTCACACAGTGGCCCAGCTTTGGGTGGCTCAGAAGGTCAGAAGACAGAGAAAACAGCACAGAACAATTGTTGATGGGCACAAGACCCAAGATATCATGAATTAACCCAAGTTTCAGGAACACTGAAAAAGACAATCCCAGTTGGGTTACTGGACACAAAAGCTAGCAAGAGGTACCACCAAATAAAGACTAGGAGGCTTTCCGGAAATGGACAACTTTCTGAAATGCTTGCCGAAAGTCTTCATTGAACACAGTGTAGATGATGGGATTGATGAGGGAATTTAAATAGCCTAACCAGGTGAAGAAGTCAAAGAGGGCCGGGTGGATCCAGCAGGAGTCCCGGCAGAGGGGAAGGACCAGAGAGACCACAAAGAAGGGCAGCCAGCAGATGATAAAGGCCCCCAGAATGATGCCCAGGGTCTTCGTGGCTTTTCTTTCCCGAGCAGTGGAAATCCTTTTGCGTTCTAGGGCACTATCAGCAAGTTTGATCTTGACGTGGTTGAAGAAGAGTGGGGAGCCGGCGTGCGAGTGAACCTCGTGGAGGCTGGGGTTGAGGGAGCAGAGTGAGGAGCCTGCAGAGCCAGTGATGAGGTGCGCGGTGGTGAAGCGCTTCCCAGTCAGGGAGGGTGGATTCAGGATGTGGCTCCGGGCGGCTGAGTAGATGCGGCTGTACAAGATGATGAGCAGGATAGATGGGATGTAGAAGGCCCCACAGGTGGAGTAGATGGTGTAGGATATCTGAGACGTGTTCACCAGACAGTCTGACATCTCCTCCTGAGCTTTGGCCTGTCGCCAGAAGAGCGGTGGGATGGAGATGCAGATAGAGATGACCCAGACTGCAGCGATCATGGCAGCAGCGTGGCCTGCCGTGCGGCGCTTGCTGTACTCCAGGGCATCTGTGATGGCCCAGTACCTGTCCAGGGCAATGACACAGAGATGCAGGATGGAGGCCGTGCAGCAGGTGATGTCGGAAGAAACCCAGATGTCACACAGGATTTGGCCAAAGCTCCAGGTGCGGGTGGTGGTGTATGCAATGCTGATGGGCATGACCAAGATGGAAACCAGGAGGTCGGTGGTGGCCAAGGAGCCAATGAGATAGTTGGCTGGGGTGTGGAGCTTCCGAGTGAGCAAGATGGTGGTCAGGACAAAGGCATTGGAGAGAACAGTGGCCAATGTGATGATGGAAAGGACCACAACAAGGGAGATCTTGAGCACCTGCAGGATTCCTGGGTCCCAAGCCTCTGGGGTTTCTGTGGCATTCAGGGATCTGTTGGAGGCCTCCTGGGGAAGGCCTTCTATTGACTGGTTTGGCGGGGACATGCTAGGTGGCTGTCTCTCCCCAGACTTCCACACACAGGGCTCCTTCTTTCACAGTTGTCCTGGCCACAGAGTAAGGTCATCCCTCTGCTTCATGCTGGTGGGAGCCATGCATCAGAACAGACCATAGACCTCGAGGCTTGGCTATTTAAAGAACTCCAGGGCATCTACCAGCTGGCAGCTACAGGTCTGTCCTAAACCCGATGAATCAGGGACGTATCGCTGTCCTAGAACTTGGCCCAGCAGATGGTCCAGCCCGGCAGACTCATGCTGGGTTTGTTAGGCAGCAGATAACGTATCAGAGAGATGTGGGCAGTGCTCTGGGGTTCTTGCTTTGGGCATTTGGGTTGTGTTCACAGTTTGAGACATGAATGTGTTTCATGAAAACTTCAAAATCTCTCCCATCCCCAAGCAGTGGAGATTCTGGATATCAGTTTGCTGCCAGGGAACTTTTAAAACTAGAGACAAAAAGTATCAGCTGATTCAGAGAAGCAGTTCAGGCAACAGCTCAGCTTTCCCAGGTTCATCTTGAGACATCTTGGGACACTTAACTTTGGTTTCTGTCCCACTGACGGTTTTGAGTCTGAACAGACAAAACATTCCAGTTACCAAGACTTGAAGAATGCATGAGCTGGTAGAAGGCAAAACAAATAGATCACCATCAGTTTACCCAGAGGAGCACGTATTCTGAAGCTCTGGGGTTTAAAGAGAAAAAAAAACAAAAAGTAGAGTTAGATTCCAGAAGGGTGATTCTGAAGGCTAAAATTCTAAGACAGCAGTGTAGTGAAACTGGCCTTCCCCAAAGTGTAGGGAGAACACAGGGGAGGGTGATGCATCCCACCCCCACAATTCCCAGAGGACCAAGTGTCATCACTGTCAAAAGTATAACAGGCTTAGTACACGTACATGAAACCAGCTCTGTCAATTGTGAATCAGAAAGCATCCTTCTATTTATTCAGCAATGGAAATTAAACTAAACAAAACTCCGCACAGGAGGAAACAAAGGCCACCCGAAAAAAAAAAAAAACAACAGACAATCTCTAGCGATTGTGAGGGGTCTTTTCCTCTATCCATTTGAATTTTCCAACTTTCTGAGAGTGAGAATGAATGACTCAAAAAAACACAGCAAAAACACTTTTTTGTTAAGCAAAGAAATTAACTGCAAAAATTTAAATCCCCGAGTATTTTTTGTGGTGGAAGTTAAACTCCAGAAAATACATTCAACTTTCTAAATGGAAACTGGAAATTTGGCCAGACACACAAATACATACATATATCCAGCACCTTGATTCACAAATGCTTTTGTTTGCAAATAATTTGGTTCGCAAACAGAAGCATTTGGCAAAATTTTGTTTTTGTTTTCAAATTCTGCATTGGGTGACAAATAAGACCATGGCCATCTTTCCCACACAAACACAAATTTAGGCCTCTTTTCCAAAATTGTAAAACAAATTAAGTTTGTGAATATATATACGTATTTTTTTTTTTGGTACCGGGGATTGAACTCGGGTCCTTGCGCTTGCAGGGCAGGCGGTGGAACCACTGAGCTAAATCCCCAGCCCTATATATGTATTGTATTTTTTATTAATTCTTTTTGGTATTGAGGATTTAACCTAGGGCCTTTGCCCTAAACTACCTGCTTCTACCTCACCCTCCTTTTCTGACACAGGGTTTCACTAAGTCACCAAATTGTGATCCTCCTGCTTCAGTTTCCCAGTGTTGGTATCATAGGAGTGTGCCACTGTGTCTGGCTCACAAAACAAAAAATCTGGAACACTATTTTTATGTCTCCTTTGTGTGCTTCTGACTTCTGGGTTGAAGTCTGTGGGACAATGGGGTGAGCCTTAGGGCAAGCCAGTGGACAGTCAAGGCAAGGCCATCTCTGGCATGACCCCAGCTCAGTCCATGGAGGCCAGCAGGCAGCCCCTGGGTGCCAGGAATCATTACTATCATAACCCCGTTACCCATAGCTCAGTTCAGGGCTCTGTACAGAAGGTTCAATCTCTCTTTTTCTCTCTCTATGTGTGTGTGTGTGCTATGGGGGATTGGACCCAGAGCCTTCATACTGAGCTGCATCCCCAGCCCTTTTTTGTTTTTTGAGATGGGGTCCCACTAAGTTGCAACGTTGTGTAGGGTGGACTGGAATTTGTGATCTTCCTGCCCCAGCCTCCTCTACATAATCCAGGCTGGCTGTGAATTCACAATCCTCCTGATTATAGGTATGCACCACCACCTCCTGCTTGATCGATTAATTTTTAAACATTAAGAAGTTAACCCTGCAATGTGTTTGTTCTTTCTCACTTCCCAGAATGTGGGTGCCGCATTTAAAAATATATCTGCCTGGGCCAGGGATTTAGCTCAGTGGTTTCGCCACCTGCTGTGCAAGCACAAGGACCTGAATTTGATCCCTGGTACAAAAAA